TCTTACCTAGCTCCCGTGAAAAAAAACAATCAAACAGGTGAGTCTTGCGGGCCACTGCTTCCCTCGCTGAACTTACTAAATATCAAAACGTGACTAACAAAGAAAACAAATCCACTACCTGCTACTGAAAATAGACAAAACTAAATGAAATGTAAGAACGAACTAACCAAAAAAATTTAGCCAAGTTAGGCTACAAAAGAAAAAAGAAAACTTAATGTAGCCAAAAAAGAAAAGAAAAAGAGGAGAGGCGATGAGCGATCTCGCGGTGAAGCGAGAGACCCAGTGAACAAAAGCAGAGAGAGAGAGATCCGCCATTGACGCCATCGAGGTTTAAATAGTAGAAATCCCAGATGACGTCACTCCACTATCAAGGATCTGGGAGAATTCCCCCGCTCACAACTCCACCTAAAGGCTAAGAAAAAAACATCACACCCGGAACAACTGCTCTACGAGCAGACCCACGTAACAGGTGTGCATAACAACATAAAAAAATAATTATATATTTCAGTATAATAATAACAACGCATGTTGACGCAATCATCTAATACCAATCTTTTCTAACTACCAAAACATTAAATATCACCCTGTCACTATACAAATACCAAAAGTGCCCTATAATACCTGTTTACTGACACTGCTGGCAAGACCATTGTTTTCAATTAAAGCTTTGGCGTCAATATACTCATGCAAAGGTCATCAATATTATATCATTATAAATCTATTTTCTCTTGTGTTTATTTCTAAAGGAAGATGTATTGTATATAAATTATGCATTTAATTGTACATTCAATCAGTTAGGAGACTAAAGTAAAGTCACAATATTTTTTTTTCCATGGTGGCTCTACCTAGTGTTATAAAACTCCAGAAACTTACCTATACATATATTTCACAACGTTTATTATAGATTAATAAATCAATAATTTATTAGATTATTGATTAATAAAGACTTATCTTCATGCTGTTCATTGCACAATTCTATGTTATGATCTCAGAACACTTTTACCATTTTGTAAACTAATACATTTGGACATTGCTATCACATAACCAGCTTCATATATATGGCTTTTTGGATGTAGTAAACTTGCCATACAGCCATACATTTGCAATTCAGATATTAGTCCCCTGAAATACGATTAAAAAGCAGAAAAACAGTTGCAAAAGCAAGCTAAAATGGCATGTTTTTTTTTTTTCATCAAATGCATTTTTTCTCATACTTTCAGTTAAGTTTAGTCTAGGTATGTTATGTTTTACAGGTATGTTTTCCAATGAGCATGGGTTGGAAGCAGTGGTGGAAAGAGTACTGAAAAAAATATATACTTAAGTAAAAGTACCATTACATTCCAAAAAATGTAGTGTGAGTAGAGTAAAAGTACTTGTCCAAAAAACTACTTGAGTAAGAGTAAAATAGTAGCTTATGGTAGCTTCTACCCATTTATAATAAATGCTATACACTGCAATTTAAACATTTAGAAAACATTTTACATACTGTAATTCACATTATATTTTGTTGTTTTTCAGAAAGAATGAATAATATCTATCATCCAGCAGTTTTAATTTTGACTGCCAACTCTTTAAAATGCATCAAAACAACACAGAAAAACTATTTAAATGATGAAAAGATGAAAGTTATTCTCAGTACACTCAGCACCATTTAAATCATAATGTTTGAAACAATAGATTTAAAATCAGGTGTAATGCAACTGAGCCAGAGCATGATATTGTTGCTCATAAAAAAAAAATTATTTTGAACAGTGCAAAGAATACAAAAACCATTAGAAACTCATGCGAGAGTTCATCATCACATATCATGAGATGGTTTAAAAAGATAGATTAAAAGAGCCAATTTCTCTCCAAAACGGTGCCAGTTTTAGCATTTTGTGATAAAGAAATGAGAATCACTAAACATGATCATTTATGTTACAATTTAAACATAAATTTACATTGTTCTAGAAGGAGGGCATCACCCCCTATCTTTTACACATTTACTCAGATTGGTATGCTTATAATACAATTTGCAAGGGGAAAAAAAATTGCATTACATAGGGAAGTAGTTCCAGGGAAACATTTTCAAAATAAAACACACACACACATGCACGTCTCTTTGCGGGCAGCGGTGGTCCGGGCTAATAAGCTGCTCTATCAGCAGCATCCACAAATGAATGGAACAAAAAAATGTTGAACTTGAAAATAGTTTTTGTGCGAGTGCACTTGCTAAATGAAGGCAGATTATATAAAATAGATCAAGCAAAAAATTTTGTTTATTAATGAGCTGCAGTTTTATTACATCACACACTGACACAGTATATTAACGCCACAGGTCATCAATAAAGTACATACTGAATGTGGTCCTCCAATTTCAGTACATTATTTCCAAGTGTTTTAGAATGTTCCCGATACACTTTTTCACAGTGCGCATCACACGCTCAAACTCATCAGGAGTCAACAAGCTGCCGACTTCTCCAAGTGACTGCTGCAGAGCGCACACGAGGGAGAGACGTGGCAGTGCAGATTGCGCATCTCTCTATGTACTTAAGCAAATGGGAGTGGCAATTTACCGCATTATGAACGTGACACTTGTGGGAGTTATTAACATTGTACACAAAACCTGCAACTTCACACCAAATTTCAGGCCGTGTAGGTAGGCACGCATATATACAGATCATTTAGTAAGCAGAAATCCAAAATTTACATTAACATATTAGAGGGAGATGCTGATATCTCGACTGAATTTATGCTTGAAGAATGCACTTCCAACAGCCATGATTGGCAGAAGTTGGCGGTTAAAGTTTTCTATGCAAAATTTGATTTGACAAGAGTCACGAGACCGATTACCCTCTCTTTAAAATTAAAACAAGCATGTAACAACCACAAATGGAGGAAAAATAGTGGAGTAAAAGTACAGATAAATCACTTAAAATGTACTCAAGTAAAAGTAACACTACTTACCTATTATGTATAATGAAGTTGCAAATTCTTGTCAGGGGGAAGAAAAAAAATCCACACTCAAAAGATGTCAGAGGGGTCCAATCTTTATTCTTCTATGAATTTGTTCTTCTATTGAAAACCGTTTCCATAGCCTTTAATTGGCTTGCCATTATATATTTTTAAAATATCCCAATTTGCTGTAATAATACCCAGCTAAACCCAACCCAGCCTTCCCAATACGGCTTTGAAATTGCTTGTATATTGATTGTTTCATATTCTTCTCTGAGTCCTTCTCCTCTCAATGTCCTGCATGCTTTAAAATAATAATTATGCCATTTCCTTTTCTCTCTGTACTGAGGCCTTTTAAAAAGACAATCGTAACTCAACATAAAAAAAATATATATATAACAAGTTCTCTTTCAAAAACACATTGCACTGCCTTGATATATGACACAGCCAGCTTCCTTCTAAGGCAGCATAGTGGAACTTTATAAGTGACTGATAAGAAACGCTAAATTGGTGTGCACCAGACAAAATAGTACTCTAACAGGCAAACCATATATAGCACACTCAAATATATTTCTTTAAGATTTAATTTAATTACAATGAACACTTTTTTTCCCCTCTCTCTGTTTTTTGTTTTGTTTTGTTTTTATGAAAGAAATGTTAATATTTAAAGTCAACATTCCTTGACTCTGAAGGCTAAATGCAATAATGTTGCATTCGAATTTGTCTAAAATTAGGTATCTTGTAAGGAAGTAATATCTCTTAAAATATGATCTAGGTAGACAGCTCACTAGACAGTTTAAACCCTGTTAAACCCTACTTTATTTATTTATTTATTTATTTACAGTAGATCTGAAACCCAACATTTTAGGAAAAAATCGTATTGTTTAAAAATGTGATGCATGACATCTTTTGTATTATTAGTTCTAACAATATAGATAATTCGCCAATGTAATATATAATATAAACAAGCAATATCACATGAGTAGCCATGTGATATCGCTCTATATCAGCATGGCTGTGATTTGGCCATAGGTACGATTTGCTTGCGTTTTATAAGGTGCCGTTGAAAGTTTTTTACAACCTTGTTTCAGTCCCTTTCAATATAAAAGTCTTTGCTACTGACTCATAAGGACAGTTTCTTATTGCCATCTAATGGTGTAAGAATGTAACCAAAATCACTGACGCACAGACCTCTTCTCATTACCAAATGCTATTATTAAATACTACTACTATTATTTATATAACATGTTATTTATTGAACAATAATATTTAATAAATAACAATGTCATTATAAAAGTTGCTAAGCAATTCAGTGAAGAGTACAAAGGCAGTGCTCTAATACAGCATTAAAGTTATGTAAAAATATGAAATTATGACATTTTACCCTCAGCCAAAACTATTTGCTCTAGAACAAATAATTTAATGGGACCAAAGATTTTCTGTTAAATATACCCAACACTAATTATAGCTCATGTTTAACCACTGTAGAGATATCAGAGCCAGAAGCAAAATTCTAGAAGAGCTGGCCAAGGTAAGGCTGCTCTCGGCAGGTCCATGAGCACTGAATGGCGGCAGACGCCCTGGAGCTCACATCTCCGAAAACGTAGAAGCAAATTATAAATAGGTGCTATCTTTATAAACATATTTGAAGTTTAAACCTTAAATCTTAAAACAACAACAGTAGTAATTGTGAAATTGTAGTGGATTTGGGCATCCGCCATAACACTCGCTGTAAGAAATGCTGCAAGCAGAGTGATACAAACTGTGAAACGGTTTCCGTGGTGATACTGGGGAATCTCTCATGGCTGGAAAAATCTCTCAGCCAATCAAATTCGAGGACCAGAACAAACTGTTGTATAATATAATATAATATAATATAATAAGATAGATAGATAGATAGATAGATAGATAGATACAGTAGATCGATAGATAGAGACACACACAAGTAATACATCATTTATTCATCAACATTTCACCTTGTGCATCCATGCAAGTAATCAAGTAACTATTGATTCATAAAGAAGCATGATTATTATTCGTTGTATTCTGTTTCTGTATGAGTTTAGGAGATCAGTGACACTGAGATTATGGAGCTGTCCCACAGTTCCTTGGGAAGGATGACCGTTGTCAGGCAGATTTTCCCTCTGTGGAAAGACAGCAGCATGAGCTGTATGAGGAACAACCACCGCATCTCATCACTGCTCTGCGACCCTCAGGAGGGCTACCTGCAGTCACTGGAGGTCAGTAACCATCAAAACCGCATCATCATCATCAGGTTGCTGATGCTTTATAGGAGATCAAATCTATATGCAGTCTCAAACCCATTAAACCTCTTAAAACAAGTGAGAGATATTATTTTAAAAGTTAAGATCAGGGATTATCAACCTTTAAAGATATGGGAACCCAGACTCTCAGTTAAAATGGTGTTTGTTTGTTTGCCTTTTATTGCCAATTTATTTGTTTTTAACTTGCCTTATTTTTTTACTTATGCGGGATTTCACTATTTTTTGTAGTTTTGTAATTTGAATTAGTTAAAAGTGTTTTGCATATTTTTTTCTTTTTCATAATAGTTTGTTTTTATGCATTCTCTGAGATGTTCCTAATTATTTAACTAATATTACAATCAAAAGTTTGAAATAATGACCTTTTTTTAATCAATTTAATTTTGAAAGAAGTCTCTTATGATCACCAAGGCTGCATTTATTCAATAAAAATACAGTAAAAGTGGTGATATTGTGAAATTAATTATGTGATGGCAAAGCTGAATTTTCAGCAGGCATTACCATGGCGTAGCTTGGGACTGAAACATTTTACTAAATTTGAGAGAGAGAGAGAGAGAGAGAGAGAGAGAGTTTTTTTGACTTTTTCAAATAACTTTTATTACAATCAAATTAACAACCATTAGCTATTTCTTCACAGTAAATCCATTCTCAAATATTTACCAACTTAAAACAAAACACAACTCTCCATTCACAACTGAGCATAAGGCTTCTCTACAACACCATATAGATTCAAACGTCATTAAATTATTCATCATTTTATAAAATCGAAAATCAACAACAATTCTGGATTTCACCATTACTTTAAACACCCTTAACACATCACTATCAATTCTCTGTTCTATATGATTTCTCCTGCTAGTGTATTGCTGCCCATTTTTTTTTTTCTAACCCAAAGAAAAATTTGGATGGAGCATCCATCCATCTCACTAAAGTTTTGAAAGCGTGATCTTATTAATGCTCCTTGTGCTTTTAAACCCAGCAGATCAGATAAAGCGGATTTTTTTTTTTCTTAATTAACAATAAGGTCTTGATTTCCAGTTTGTGTTAACTGTTGAAGTTTCGTAATTTCATCTTCTAAAATCTGAACAGATCTAGCCAATTCTTTAGTGACATTCAGGGTGTATTGTTGACACAGTTGTTTTATTTGAGTTTTTCCGAAATCCCACCAACTCTTTAAGGACTGAAAATTATTCTTTTCCTTTTTAAAATTAGTCCAGAAACAATTCAAAATTTCTTTAAACTGAATATCATTTAACAGAGTTGTGTTAAAATGCCAATAGGCACTATTGGGTTTAACAGAATTCATAGAAAATACATATCCTATTAAACTATGATCTGAAAAACCAACCGGCGAAATAAAACATCTTTTGAAAATACTAAGATGATGTTTAAAAACATAAAGCTTATCTAACCTTGCTAATGATAATGAATTATCACGCGCATGTACCCATGTATACTGTCTAGTATCTTTGTTAAAATTTCTCCACACATCACTCAAATCATGCGTTTCAATCATTTGAATAAGCCTTCTGCGTGATGGCATATGTGGCTCAATATGATTTCTGTCTAAACTGTTTACTGCACAATTAAAATCACCTCCCAAAAACAAGTATTCTTCAC